ACGCTCCCGGCGCCCCCGGCGGGGCCCGAGCCAAGGCCGTCCCGCCCCGGGAGTCTCTGCTGCAGCAGAGGGAACTCCCGTTGCCGCGCCCCGCGGAGCCGGGCAGCTGCTGCCCGGGGGGCGCCAATCGTGGGGGCTGCGCGCACAGGCCATGGGGTGGCAGCCAGCCTCACCTCTTCTGCAGCTTCTCCGACATCTTCCGCCGCTCGGCGCTCGATCCACGCACCTGGGCGGGCACCCCGCAAGAGAAGCGCTCGGCGCTCCGCTGCCCGGCCTAGCGCTGCGCGCATGCGCGCATGCGCGCTCTGCAGCGGCCGGGGGCGGTGCTGGGCGCTGCGGGAGGCGCGAGGGCCAGTGAGGGCGGCTGGTGCTGGCTCGCTCCCTCCACGTTTGCTGATGAGAGAGAGCTCTTATATAACTGTTACATCTCAGAAAGAGAGCGGGGAGCGCGCTGGTCAGGAGGGGCACCAGCGCTGTCGGGGGTGCCCGTGCCCCTCCTGACCCTCCTCCCTACTCCCCGCCGCTGCTCCCCCTGCCCGCTGACTGATTTCAGACTGCGAGGCGCAGCTGCCTCTCCCCGCCACCTCCCATCCTCTGGCTCTGCTGCCAGACCGGCACAGGGAGGAGAGCCCCTCCTGAGCTCTACCCGCCTCGACCCGACGAGTACCCCGATGCCCCGCCAGTGTCCCAGCCAGTGGACGACGGGCTGTCAGCATTTCCTGTCCTGGTGGCTTGACGTGGCTCCTGCAGGCGTGCGGTGGGGTGCATGGCTGTGGGACGAGGTGCTCCCCCTTGTCAGCACCATGCAGTTGGCCTTGCTGTCAGTGCTGCCTTGCCCCTCCCACAGGACAGCCATGAAGGAGCCACAGGGCACCAGCTTTCTGTGCAACAGCTGCCTACTCCACATCTGTGCACAGGGTGGGCTTTCTAGCGTGCATGTGGTCTCATTTGGGCCTGAGTGACCACATGACCTCCTTTTAGTGCTCTGAGCAGAAGCCATGGCAGGTCTCTAAGAAGGGACATGTCACCCTGATGAACAGGATGGGGTTCCTGAAGATGAGGCATGTGACTGAGACCAGGCCAGCTCAATGCATGGCACAGACAGGCACACTGGTAGCCTAGGATGGAAATAATAAATGTTTGCTGGCAGGGACACTTACGGTTCTTGACTGACTCACGGATTTGGAATTGATTTGGCTGATTTGGATTGGAATGTGAAAAATTCTCAAAACAAGAAAGGAAATCATAAAAGCGAGGGCATGTCCCAGGTACGTAGTACTAAGGAGAGAGCTCAGCTTAGGGAACCTGCCCAAGGCCATGCAGTTCAAAGCCCAGGTTCCTGCTTGAGTCAGCTACAATGCTACAGCAATTGAATAGCTTCCACTAGAGCAGGGGTGATCAAGGTCTAGTCTGCAGACTGGATTCACCCCACAAACCTGTCCCCTCCAGTTTGTGGGACTCCCCACAGGCAATTTGATGGTGTAGTGAGTGGTGGTAGCATTAATTGCTATAGGTTTTGGAGAGAGCCCCTTGGGCAAGATCTATAATACAGAGCCGTATCATCTGACCCACAGGGCTGGAAATTTGATGGGGGGAGGAGCAGCAGCTGCTGTGACTTCAGGGGCCACAGCAATTAATGCTGCCATAGTTCAGCCCTATGGGCCAGGCAACCTGCACTTGTGGGCCAGTCAAGTTGGGCACCACTATACTAGAGCGTTGAGCAGCTTGATTGATATTTATCATAGGATTTGATCTCTCACTTCTGCACTCAGAGCAGTGTAGTAGGGCTTTTGGGTGGGGAGGTGAAGAAAGGGTTTTTGGGGGTTTTGTTTGTTGGGTTTTTGTTTTTTGTTTTTTTTTAATTGCACATTGCTGTGCTCATGTTAAAAAATACAACTTAGAAATTACATGGGGGCATAAAGTGTTGAGGTCTAAGGTGGGTCTTGCTTATGGGGAGCCCATTTTGCAGTCCCAGACTGACTCTAGAGAGCTTTACCCTTATCTTAGAGAGCTGTACTATGCTATAGGTAGTGCTGTTGACCGTGATCTTTAGATTTCTGTTCTAGAGACCCTGAGCCCAGGCCAGAGAAAGCCAGGTAGATAAGACAGGCTTCAAACTTGATTCAGTATTTGGAAAGCCAGCATAGGCATCTGAAGATGGGGTGGCATGCTTGCAGGAGCGTGTACAGCAAAGGAGATGCCCCACAGCATTACAAACTGGTTAGATTTTCTTAAGAGAGGAAGGTCTAGTGCACTGCTAAGCCTAGTCAGGAGACAACAACAGCTTGAATAATTGAGGCCACTGCATGGTCCACCAGGATGGGAATTGAGTCTCCTAGTAAACTGGAAGTGGTAGGAGGCACTGTGGGCTGCATGAGAGTATAAACATAAGAAATGAATACAAACATCTCACTAAAGTTCACACTGAACAAACCAGCTATGGGTATGAGCTAAACAGGTGACTGTGGCTGCAAACTCCTGTAGGTGGTGGTTTTTTTTTTTTTGGTCATCTGCATCATTTCTATCAGCTGTTCTTCATCCAGGACCCGGTGTTAATCCTAGCTGCAGCTAGTCTCTGCATTACTTGGCTAGAATAAGACAAGGCTGTCCTATTTCAAGCAGGCCAGAGGCCACACTACTCCAGCCATACACTTCAGAGATGGGGCCCTGGGATCCACCCCTCCCCTCCATACAGGTAGGGCATGCAGCATGCCCCTCTTCCCCACCCCTGCAGCTGATACAGTACTATAATTCTCCCTACAAGTGGTCACACTCGGTGGTGGGGACAGGGGGTCTTAGCCTCTCCCTGCTCAGCTCCCTCAGGTACTGGGCCACAGACTCATCTGTGGCAAGCAGCATCGGGGTGGGGAGGGTGGAAAAGGAGAAGAGAAAGAAGAGGCTGGTGTGCACATCAGGTCTGACCCTCCTCTACACTAGCTCTGTTCCCTCCATCATAGACCCTGCTTGCCAGAAGTGGACAGCTTGCATGCAAGCCCTTTTAAAAGGAAAGCCTGGGACTGAAGATGGGGCTCTGAGAACTGCTGGCTGGATTCGGTCTGTAGACATCCAGAACAATTGCATCTAAACAGGGAGGGGTGGGGAAGCAGTTTGGTCACCCAGAGATGTAGGCACCCACCTGACACTAGAATGTCCATTTAGTCTAGTTGTCCATATTGCCCTTTTTGGCCCCAGCTAAACTTTGGACACCTACACAGATACTGTCCGTCTCCATGTGTGCATCTCATGGGCTCCTGAGATTTTTCAGGCTCTGTACAGACTCCTGCATGAAGACTACTGCTGTGTATATGGAGATGGCAGGGAGTCAGAAACAAAGCAGGGTGATGGGAGGGCATAGCCCCTCCTTCCCTTGTGGGAAGCTAGATGCACAAGCCAGTCTGGACCCTTGAACACCCCCATGCACGGCATTCTGCCTTGTGGGCACAAAGGTGTTCCTGTTATAAATATGGGAATTTGTGTACATGTCACTAGACCAAAGAAAGCAAGTGTGCACCACTTACCTTTTGGACATTCCTATAGCTAGGGGCCTGCTCAAAAATCATGATTTTGAAGAAATCACAACAATGTCTATGAAATCCATGGTGTGTACGTGGGCTTATTAAAAATAAAAGGTGCTAGCTCCCTCACTGGGAACCAGCAGCCCACTCAGCTGGGCAGCCTGTTGGGGGTGGGAAGAGGGGTGCTGGCACAAAGGGGAACAGGCAAGCTGTCCCCATACTCCTCACTGCTGATTGGGTGAGAGGCCTGCCTGTCTGCAACCCTGTGCCTCCAAAAAAAAAAAAATCAGCAGTGAGGGGTGGGGCCACCAGGGCCCCTCCAAAGGCAAGGGGGCAGGCCCTGCTGCAGTTTGCCTACAAAAGTCAAACACCTGCCTCCAGGTTAGGTAGATTCCTACCCATAAAACTTTTTATGGCTCCCACATTTTCTATGTACCCACAGGGTATAGAAGAATGCCACTCCTAGTACAAAGTATCAAGAGGTGATTTAAAAAGGCATGCATCACATAGGATCTAACTACCCCTTTTGAGGGGGAAGAGGAAAGCTGTTCCTTGTGTCTCCCCGAGAAGCAGCCTTATTTGGTCTCCCTCTCCGGAGAGGACCCCAGCAGCCAGTACTAGCATGGTTTCACACAGGGCAAGTCTTTGGCTTTGAGACCCTGGCTCTTCTCAGTCCCTGGCTCCCCCAGTTACCTGTAGCACCTCCCCCACCTCAGAGACCTCCTTTTTTTGGTTATCTCCCAGGAAAGAGGGAGTGTTTTTTTCTTTACAGAGGACAGACCAGAGTTCCCACATCTCAAGCAGCACAGTAGACCGTTTCAAAACAACGCGTTTTTATTGTTCCGTTCCTTTTCTCCCCGTCCTCCCTGGGACCTTCCCTCTCTGAGCCTCATTCATTCCCCTCAGGCCCAGTCTGCTACCACTTGCAACAAAACAGCTAGAGAACTCTAGTATTGATTTGGGGACAACACCCATCCAAACACATGAAGGGCTAAGGACAGAAGTTACATGTAAACCAGTTTAAGTGATCAGAGGCTGGTTTAAACCTCTAACAGAACAAAAGCTCAGTGCACATAAACCAGTTTCAAAATGGCTGAAACTGGTTTAAAAGATAAACCTGGTTGAATGTAGGGTCAGATTTAAGTGATTTGGATCAAACCGGTTTAAGAAACTTCCTGGTTTAAGTTAAGTCCCCCAGCATGTTTTCCAGCCCTGGACTGGGCGGTGCTCTCTGGAGCAGGGAGGGCTGGCTGATAGTGGGGTGCAGGGGGCAAGCCTAGATGGGGATGCAGCCCAGTTTGGGAGGGACAGGGACAAAACTGCTCTGCCCCAGGCAAGCCCTGGCCAGGGTCTGGGGCCATAGTTGGGGGTTAAACACCTCTTCCCCCACTAAAACTTATTGCTGGCTGGCTGCAACTGCGGGCTATAAATCCCAGAGGCACCTGGAAGTAGGAAGAGGGAGTGATGAAGAACTCTGCAGAGTCCTGCTGCTGTAATTCTGGACTGCAAATCCTGGAGACCTCAGGGGCAGCAGGAAGAAGTGAACATACAGCTAGAGAGCCCCCCAGCCTCTGGCCTGAGCCACGGTAGGCACGTGGCTGCATTTCCCAAATTAAACAGTGTCTGTTCACTTCCAACTCAATTTAATTTGTGCAGTTTAGACTAACCTGCAAGGACTGAATCAATTCAGACCCAGGCTTTTTGACTGTCTGTACTTAGCCAATGAAATGAGATTGTGGGGAACCAAGTAGGGAGCCGTCTCTGAGACCTGCTGCCACCTGCCTCTGGGGTGGAAGAGGGCATGAAGGTGTTTATAAAACAAATTTACATCAACATATACTTACACTGAGTCCCCCAAAGTATTCCCAACAGGAACTACAAGCTAAGACTCAGCACACACAACCCTTTCCATCCCATCTCTCCCACCTTTAAAAAAATTGAGGGGCTGGATCACTGCAACGGGGAAGTTCACACCTACCGTTTTCCAAGGCAAAGCATCGGTGATCAAGTTCTTAATGTGAATCCCCTGCATGTTGTAGTCCTGTAGGGCTAAGCTCCACTTCAGCTTGGCACTGGTACCTTTCAGCACCCAATACTTCCTTAGGAAGTCCTTTAGAGAATAAAAGTGAAGGAACTAACAAACAAGCACACACACACGCATACACTCAACAGAAGCCACCTCTCTGGCATTTTGTAGTCCAGATGACCTTGTCTGGCATACCCTTTCTGTACAGCTTTCTGTGATGGGAAAGCCTGGCACACCTATTAATCCTGGAGAGTCTGGTTTTCCTTTTGACCCATTCAGTTCAGGTTGCCCTGGAACACCTGAAAAGCTCTTACTGCATTTAGGACTATTACTCCCCAGAGTGCCTGTTAACCCAATAATAACTTTGTCTGGGACTCCAGGTTCACCCCCCAGACCTAGAATCCCTATGGGCCCTGATGGATTTTGATTCAAGGACTTAAAACTTGTAGCACTAGGAAGTCCCAGCAAGCTATCAATCCCTTTGTCTCCTCAATGGACCTGGGATTCCTGGAGCCCCAGGAAAAAGCTCTAACAGTCATGTCAGTTGTAGTACCTTCTGCAGGCACCCTCAATAGGCTCCTTCAGCCACTCCTATGCCTCATGGCCATAACAGCAACATAAATCCCAGCCAAAATACAATCTATTGTACCTGGGATGCCTTTTTCTAAGCCTTTCCTCCACACCAACATTTCCAAACCCAGGTTTTCCTGGGCCTACTCACAGTTTCCTTGGTCTCCCAAACAGCTTCTTCAGTCAGTGTAGGGA